TTTTTTTTTTTTTTTTTTTTTTTTTTTTTTTTTTTTTTTTTTTTTTTTTTTTTTTGTAAATTGTGATTTCGTGGATCGAAAATCTAAGGGAAACGAATTTGTTATCGAACGAGCCGTCTCACTGTTACAGTTTGAAAGGGACGAATAGTTTCACGATAGAAGTATGTCTCCCCCGAAAGACTGCTCATAGCAACTTGGTTATCTAGAATCACCATCTTCTCATATCGGACTTGTTTATAAGTTAGTATTATTAAACACGAACGGTGAGATCCCACGTTGGTTGGGGAGGAGAAAGAAGCATTACTGGTGTAGAAACCTCTCTCTAGTAAACGAGTTTTAAAAACTTTGAAAGGAAGCTCGGAAAGGAAAGACCAAAGAGAACAATATCTGTTAGTGGTAGGCTTGGGTTGTTACAAATGGTATCAGAGGTAGACATGAGGCGATGTGCCAGAGAGGAGGCTGAGCCCCGAAGTGGGGTGGACACGAGGCGGTGTGTCAGCAAGAATGTTGGGTCCCGAAGGGGGATGGATTGTGAGATCTCACATGGATTGGGGAGGAGAACGAAGCATTCTTTAAAAGGATGTGGAAACATCTCCCTAACAAACTCGTTGTAAAAATCTTGAGGATAAACTTAGAAGAGAAAGCCCAAAGAGAACAATATCTGCTAGCGGTTGATTTGGGCCGTTACACGAACTTCGAAATGATTATTTGACCCTTGACCCCTTCTTTGTGTTCGTAATTTGGAATATGATAGTTAGTTTTGTGTATAAATATGATCTTTGATCTCTAAAACGATTGTTTTTTTTGTCGGTTTTTTCATTTTTATGGTCTAGTGCGGTCATAATGTTATTGGACCAGCCCAAAATTTTAGGTTGGTTGGACGGATAATCAGACTCAAATTAATGCATAAACTTATTCTTTCTTATTATTTTACAATTTATTATTCAATTTATGATCATAAGGAATATTTATATATATTTTTTAATTGCATTAAAATCATTTATTTAAAAATAATTGTTGATATTAATAACAAATAAATTTAATGTACTTATTTATTTATAAATGTTAATATATTAAAATTTAAGGCATATTAGTGCTTTATTAATAAATTATTATCAAATTTTGTCTAAAAATATCCTCAAATTAAAAATAAATAAATAAATATCTGTACGGTTAGTATGGGATGGAAACCACTAATATTTTCTTTTAAAAATTACTTTGAAACTTTTAAAAAAGTTTAAAAAATATTCTTTTAATTTTTTAAAACTTTTTAAAAGCTTCCAAAACACATTTAAATTTTGTAAAGAAAAATTCAAAATTATATTTACGTTAGTACCCTTCAAATACATTTATAACATTAAAAAAATTTAAAAATAATTTATATAGTTATATATATATAAAGATGATTTAAATAAAATATTAATATTCAAATATATTATTTTAGAAAAAATTCTTCTAAAAAACGGTCATCTAAATACGACCTTTGAGCCAAAAAATATTCTATACTATCTCCGATGATAATCTCTAAAACTCTCCTCCAATCCGTTGGTGATTTTCTAAAACTCTCTTTTCTCTGATCTTCTTTCACAAGCATTGACCTTATGTACCCGTTAGAACTTTCTCTATATTTCTTCAAGGTAAGAACGCTTAACTCTTAGTTTTGTTTAATTCTAAATAAAATCAAAACCGATTCCAACGCTTTTGCACGAATAGAACATTCATTTCCAACATAAACCATTAGTTTCGTTGTCTGTTGTACATATGTTGTTTTCTTCGTTGGATCTTAGGTTGTCAGTCAATAGATTTTGTTCCAATCCAATGAACAGTTCATTTATATTATCAGGAGTTTCCTTTTTGCTTAATCGATAAATTTAAAAATTCTCGTGGATATAGATACCAAATTTGTAATTTATAAATATAAATATATATATATATATATATATATTTATTTATTTATTTATTTAATACGTCTTCTATGGAGCTCAACTATAAATACTCGCACGGTTTAAAGTAGAAAGGGTGGGGACTTTCCCGCTTACTTTTATAAAGCATTCTTGCTCCCTGCTGTTCTGCAATTCTTTTGCTTTCCTCGTTCAAACAGATCATAAACCCTTCTCTTTCTCTCTCTCTCTCTCACTCTAAACCTCGGTTTGATCATCCATGGCGACCAATTTCTGGTCGTTAACATGCACTTGGTTTCAGAACAATAGTAATCTGTTGCCGCGGCCTCATTATCCGTCCATGCCCAAATATCCGGCGGGGATTTCGCTACCGGAGAATAGGTTGCCGACGAATGAGTCGACGGCGTTCTTCTCCGTCACTGGAATGACATGCTCTGCTTGTGCTGGCTCCGTCGAGAAGGCGATCAAACGGCTCCCTGGGATTCGTGAAGCCGTCGTTGATGTTTTGAATGCTAAAGCTCGAGTCCAGTTTTACCCTAGCTTCATTAATGTATGCATCTTCTCTGTCTCTCTGGTTTTCTCGGACTTGGTTAAATTTGTTTTCGTTTTCGTTTCCTTTTGGATTCGCTTTCATGTGATTTTTGTTAAACATAGAATAGATCGTATATAGGAAGATAATCTATGATTTACTGGTTTGTTATAAATCTATGATTTTATGGTTTTGTTACCAAATCTATGATTTCATGGTTTATCAAATCTATAATTTAGGATATAATCTTCATTATACACATTTATAAATACATGAGGTCATGAACAGGTCAGTGTGCAAGCTAAGTATTCTCTAGCGTACGCTGCGTGTTTTTTGAATCGAGATTGCGCCAAAAATTGTTAGGGATTATATTGTTTGTTTAATGCAAAAGGCTCGACCATTCAACTCTAGAGAATTTAGTGGGATCCAAATAAATAGACGAAGCCTAAAACTCTTTCAACTCAACTTGATTTCATTTGTACGAACTTTATGGTTCTGGCAAAGTGAAGATCATTGACACTGACTGCCAGTTCTTGATCGCACAGAATTTAAGTTCTTTATTTTCTCTTGGCTATGCATACAGTTGGATCGAATATGTGAGGCAATTAACGATGTAGGCTTTGAAGCAAGTATAGTCAATGACGATATGATTGAAAGATGTCGAATTCATATAATTGGAATGACTTGCACTTCTTGCTCCAAAACTTTGGAATCTACAATACAAGCAATTCGTGGAGTTCAAAACGCCCAAGTTGCATTAGCCACGGAAGAAGCAGAAGTTTGTTTCGATCCAAGAATTTTGAACTACAATCAACTTCTCCAAGCCATTGAAGAATCTGGATTCGAAGCTTTACTTATTAGCACAGAAGAAGATGTAAGCAAGATACAGCTCCAAGTTGATGGAGTGAGATCTGAGAATTCAATGAGAGTGATTGGGAGCTCTCTGGAAGCACTTCCTGGAGTTCTAGGTATTAATATTGACCCTGCACTCAGCAAACTTTCATTGTCTTACAAGCCAAATGTCACCGGACCTCGGAATATAATCCAAGTGATTGAATCAACTGGATCTGGTCGTTTTAAGGCAACAATATTCCCTGAAGAACAGGGCAGAGAAGCCTATAAAAAGGAGGAAATTAAGCAATATTACCGATCATTCTTATGGAGTCTGATATTTACAATTCCAGTGTTTTTAAGCTCTATGGTCTTCACTTATATACCTGGTATTAAGGATGTGCTAGATGCCAAAATTGTCAATATGATGACTGTTGGGGAGCTGCTGAGGTGGGTGTTATCATCTCCCGTACAGTTCATTATTGGAAGGCGGTTCTATACAGGGTCTTACAAAGCATTGCGTCATGGTTCTGCTAATATGGATGTTTTGATTGGTTTGGGGACTAATGCAGCATACTTTTATTCAGTCTACATGGTATTAAGATCTGCAACCTCAAGTGATTTTAAGGCCACAGACTTCTTTGAGACCAGTTCAATGCTTATATCATTCATCCTTCTCGGGAAATATCTTGAGGTCTTGGCTAAGGGAAAAACATCAGAGGCTATTGTGAAGCTTATGAAGTTGGTGCCTGAAACAGCAACCTTGCTTACTTTTGATAATGATGGAAACGTCATTAGGAAAGAAGAAATTGATAGTCGGTTGATACAAAAGAATGATGTAATTAAAGTCATTCCAGGGGCAAAGGTTGCTTCCGATGGAGTTGTTGTTTGGGGACAAAGTCATGTCAATGAAAGCATGATTACTGGGGAAGCCAAGCCAGTGGCAAAGAGAACGGATGATACGGTGATTGGAGGCACCTTGAATGAGAATGGTGTACTACATGTGAGGGCAACACACGTTGGATCTGAAAGCGCCCTTTCACAGATCGTGCGACTTGTTGAATCGGCTCAGATGGCCAAAGCTCCGGTTCAGAAAATTGCAGATCGCATCTCTAAGTTTTTTGT